AGCAGGGAGCCCGATGCGGGACTCGATCCCGGGACTCCAGGATCATGACCTGAGCCGAAGGCAGTCACTTAACCAACTGAGCCACCCAGGCGCCCAATCCTCAATGAATTTTGAGCCACATTCTTTCCAACAATTATCAATGACCTTTAAAAATATCTGAACCAAATGCCCTGCATTTTATACCTATTTATAATAAAATCTTAAAAAGCACGACCAAGCTTAGTTAACGGTTTCTCCAGGGTAAGATAAAAAATCTCTCTGGAATTTAAAATCCAGCTCTATTCAAGGTAGGATTTTGGGATTTGGGGTTTCAGAGCTCACCCCTGGCCCTGGGGTGCATCTCTAGCTGTGTCAAGACACCTGTCCCCAGCAACACGAGCACCACACGCGCACCTTCTGAATCTGCAGCACAGCGGCTCCCACGTCAGCAACTTTCTCGCCAAGTGTCTTGGCTTGCTTTGCTCTGTATTCTTGGAGGAAGATTTGCTTCATGAACATCGCTCTTAGGCGACCTTGCCGTGCTCTCTCAGCGATCTGGATTAGTTTAACAGCCTCTTCTAGGGGGATACCCTTTACGGTGTATTTCTGTGAAAACTTTCAAGTTAGATCAATGTTTAAACATGTTAACTCTATCAGTTGATTCCATATACATCATGTGCTTACTTCTAACACAACCTTGCTAGGAGTTCCCAAACTGTTGATAAAGAGTCTGATGGTGGTTTAATACTAACCATCTCACTCATTAACTATGTGAATTTTGATAACATGCCGTGGCTCTTGCTCTGGTCCCCGATTTAAGAAACCCCATAAGTTTTCCTCTACCATTCCGAACAAAATACCAATTAGTTCCACAATATTTTAGGTTGGCAGCAAATTATACCAGGAATGCTAATAAAATGGATTCAATAAAACTCAAAATTGCTATTCATGTTTTATTAACTTAATAGTAGAAACATATAAATTAAAAGCACATCTTTAATATGAGAACTTAAAATGTAAAATACACATGAGGTAAAATGCTGACTTCAAAATCCATCCAATCCATTAGGATGATCTAGTAAATATGAGTAATGTTAAAATCATTTTAGGAGTATTCAGTTTATATGTGAAATGTCTTCTAGTACTTACAAATTTGCATTTCAAAACATCCAAATGGGATGGGTAATTTATGACTGGAGAAACACCAGGGCTCATGTGGTAAAATGCTGCCTTTGGGGACCTCAGATGGGCTAGGGGGAGGCAAAGCCAGGTGCGGGGCTGTGACATTTCCTGAGGAGGGTCAAGAGCAAGGTTGCTGGGGCATCCGGAGCCCTGCGAGAGCTCTGAGTGGGCTCAGGGGTGAGGCTCTCTGTGGTCCTTGGGGCTCGGGAGAAGCTGGGGATGTGGCCTGGCTTGGGTGGAGCCTCATGCAGGGACACAGGCAGAAAGGAGAGGCCTTCTGAATCAGAAAACACCCACTCATGGGCTGAATCCTTGCCAAGGTCTCAGAGGGCAGCATGGCCACCTTATCAGAACATGGTGCCAGACCCTGAGGTCCCAAGTGTGGGGTGTTCCGATTCATCACCAGGGCCCCTGTTTCCCATGATGATGTCTTCTCTGTAATGGCCCCGGGGTGGGGGTGGGGGTGGGGGTGGGGGGACGGTGCCCAGGAAGGAGCAGGGAAAGGAAAGGGGCATTTACTGAGACGCTACAGAAGCCAGAGGCTTTTCATAGATAATCTCGGCAAATTCACAAAGCAACCCCCAAGGTGGGTATTTTTGTGACCAGTCAAGAGTTAAGACCGAGGCTGAGAGAAGAAATAGAATTGACATGGGCTCCCGTGGTTAGTAAGGGGTAGAGCCAATTTGAACCAAGACTGACCCTCCTCCTCTGCTCCCCAGTGTGGTGCCCTGGTTCCCTTTGAGGGGCTCTTTCATGTCACAATTCCTCAGAGTTTGGTTTTCAGTGAGATCTCATCACCTCAAATTTTCAGTGAGCGCACATTTCCAATAATGCACTCAGCAGGTTAGAGTAGAATGAATACCATGTCGGCATTGAACCGCACAAGGTATGTACAAGAGCTTAAGCAGATAGTAGGTGTCCTGCAAATATTAGTTATTATTGTATTATTATTTCCTTTAGATTCCATATTGTCATTCTGGAAATCATTATAGCCCTTATTGAAGACTTCTGAGGGTTTGAGTGGTCTACTCATTTTTGAACATTTACAGAGGGCCCAAGAGTAAATACTAAGCATTAAAGATGTAGGACTGGGTGGCAATATTTGCCTCTCAAAATTCTTTTTGGGATATATATTGCATATATCTTCAAGAAATAAGCAGCTTGACGTGAAAGTGGGGTCTCGTGAGGCACTGAAGGGCATGAGAAAGTCACACAGATGCCAAGGGCTGTTGCCCAGAGCCCGGCGTGTTGCTGACGTTGGGCCCATCAGAAGTCGGGGCTGGGATGGAGATGGACGGCTCTGCCTAGTGGAGCCAGCTAGGGCTTGCTGCTGAGAGAGAAAGCTCCCAGCGGCTGACCCTGCACCAGCAAAGAGGGACAGCAGAAAGGGGAAACAGCAAAGAGGAATTTTTAGGGTTTGACCATAGTGTGTACAACATCATCGCCCTCCTCCATTTCCCCTATAAAATCCTCCGTGAATTCTGCACTGCTTGCCAATGTTTCATGCCAGGAGATACCTTGGGGGAGCTGGGTGAAGCGCTGAGTGCTTCCTTCTGAGTGATGCATGGGCTGAAGGCACCAACATGTGCAAGGATGGTGATGACCCCTACTTGAAACAGCCCCGGGACGGATTTCCAGGGATGCAATGCAGAGGGGAGGATCAGTCAGTTAGGCGAGAGGCGAAGGAAGGAGAGATGGTCCTGAGTTAGTTGGGTCAGGTTTCTGGAGGGGTGCTGCATCAAGTCGGGCTCTGATGAATGAGTACCATTTCGACAGGCTGGGCTGTAGGGAGAAGAGTGAGCCCTCTATGTAGCATGAAGCATGTCCACGGCCGAGAGGGAGCACAGAGCACCCCGAGCACTTCCTGTGGCAGGCAGACAGGGCACGTCCTGCTCCCACCCCACGGTCATTCTGGTTGCGCTTGGAATCTTCCTTGGCACCGGGACCCAGGCTGACAACACCCAACGGGGCCTGTCTGTAGGAAGCCCACACGTGCTGGTTTCCCCTGGGCACTGGGGCCGCACCTGTTTCCCAGCATAGTTACTGACGGTGCCCCTTTCACTTGGAATCGTCCCAGCTGGGATGGCCAACTGCCGCCTCCCCGCGTGGGCCGTGACCAGCCAGGGCCGTGAGGCACTGATGCGCGGGAGGCAGCGAGGGCCACCGAAATGCACAAGCAGACTTGCCAGAAGGTGGATGTGGCAGTGTCGTGCGGAAAAGTCTGGAAGGGAAAGACTGACCCGTAGGTTAGCTTAACACTTAATTATTTCATATGAAAGCATTCCGCTTCTGACTTTAGGTTAGGGGTCTGAGACGAAAAATCAAACCGAGCTGATAAATCTGCTCAGTCTCAGAGATACTGACTTAACCAACAAAGCACTATGTTTTGATCTCTGTTTCTAAGTTCTTGAAAAATAATGGTCAGGAATCATCAAAAATACGTCCCCAAGGTAAGCAACTTTTTACATACACCGAATAGCACGAGGCGCGGGTGCTGCTTTCTTCCCACTGGAAATGATCTGTCTCTCACACAGTCAGGAGCCACGGAAAAAGGTTTTATAGATTATGGAATGATGTTTATTAAAATAATATACGAACCTTTTCAGGTATATCTAGTCCAGTGTCGGCCAATATCTGAGCAAGGATTTTCTCTCTTCCTTTGATGACTTCCAGCTTCTCCTTCAAAAAATACTTGGGAATGGGAATATCTAATTGTTGCTGGAGAAGAGAAAGAATGAGCCAAAGGGCACAATTTTGTCACAATTGGTCAAAACTGCCACTTTTGTCACAATTCCAGGACTCAAATCCATCTAAGCTATGCAGTAAGGACTGCACATCAAAGAGACGCGCTTTACCTCCCATCTTGATTTAAGAGGTGGTGAGGTGGGTGGCGTGAAGAGAATTCATTACCGTTGAGGAGACACAAAGTCACAAGAAAAAACCATCACCACGGCCCTCGTTTTAATCATTACAGTAAAACTTGAGAACCCACATCAGTTAATCCTCAATTAACTAATGATAACTTAATGAAGGTCTTTAAAGAAACATAATATCATCTCAGCCTACCTAAAATAATAATGCAGACTAAGATAGCAAAGCATGGTGATGTAGAGGTCTTTGAATTCAATCTCGTAAGTTATCATCAGTATCATTACTTGCATGTAAATGATCACATTTTTCCCCTAATAATTTGTTCTTATTTTTACCTAAATTACCCCAAATTACAAAAATTATTGGTAAAGTTCATTTGCTTTATTAGGAAACTTGTTTTTTATGCAATAAATATCAACTTCTGTTTTTTCATTTATGCATATTACCAAATATTTCAGTTAGTGGAGGTCACACGAAGGTTTACCAGCCCAAGTTCAACAATCAGGAGTATAGAAGTGTTATTTGGGGGTATGGGATGGGCCCTTGGGCACCCCCATTGAGAAACACTGTCCTAGACTCTCAGACACTCCTGGTTGCCTCTGGTAGACCAGTTGGCCTGGCAAAGCTAAGGTTCTGGTCCTCAGGGTCAGCTCCCCTTCTTCCCATTCTGGCGTCACTCCCCACACCCTCTCCCCCATCCAGGGGATTTTGAACAGGCCTTCCCTTAAAGAAGCCTTATCACGTAAAGGGGTGTCTTTTTTAGGACTTGGTGAGACGATATCAGTACCAGGTGGCAACTGTTTTTGAAAACCAAATTTTCTTAGACTAACGGAGTTTCCATCCTCTACGGGGTGGAATCAAGGACGCTTCTTATGGCAGAGAAAATCCCTCTCTCCCTGACACGTTTCTCTATATCAGGGACCTATTCGGAAGGCTCCTTACATGGCAGGCTGCAGAAACACTCTTCCGGTGAGTTTAGCCGTAGGGGACACTGATGGATGGACTTAAGACTTCGTGGACCTGGGGCAGGAACACAGTGGAGAGTTCCTCATCAGCAGGGACGTGTCCAGGGATGAAGATGCTTTCAGGACTCTGCCATTTACTTCTGCTCCTCTTGGTGAGTCTGTTTTGTTCTCTCTCTCTCTCGTTCTCTCCCTCCTTCACTCTCAAGAGCAGCTTTCTTCATTCTTCGGAGCATCTCAGAACGAAGGCTCCAACTACTCACAAATTTGGGAGCCCGAAGTTCAGACTCCGAGACAGGAACTGGTGTCTCTGTCTCAGTTTCAGAATCTCTGAGGGAAGGATTGCCTGGTGCAGCCGCCAGTGCCCATCCCCGAACTGACCAGCTGTGGTCGGACTGTGGGTCATATTGTACGGAGAGCTGTGTGCTGTGCAGGTGGCAGCCATGGAGGCCCTGGCAGGGGTGCAGAACTGAGCCACGTAGAAGCTCCCAGAGATGGCACACGTGTGTCTCCCTGGCCCGGCACTGCTCCGGGGTCCGTGCTGCTGCTGTTGGACGTGCCCCAGCGTCATCACATGGCTCGCCGTGCACCCTTCGGAAATGGTGGAAAACACAGTTGAGAGTCTCCCACCAGGAAAGGTTCCTGGACAATGTCCCTCATTCCTCACCCCTTTCAGTGCTCATGGCCTTTGAGAAGATGAACCAGGTGAACCAGAAAACCTGAAGGAGCCCACCACATAAATTTCATAAATTTCTCATTCTTCAGCTTTGAGAATACTATTTAATAGTCTTGGCATTAAATTAACACATTTTATATTACTTTATTAATTCAATTTAGGGATATGACTTAATGATTTGATTTCATGTTTATCCTCAGGTGTTCCTGATAGACTCACATGGGTGAGTAAAGTACACCTAATGGAAAAAATCTGGTGCTTTAATCCACACTCTTATAAACGAATGCAATAAACACAAAAGTTTTGGAGTGATCTTCACGTTCTAATCATTTTAGTTATTCCTTAGAGTCCACTCTAACGAAGTGCAGTAATAATGTTAGGAAAGTCTATTCCAGAAAGAAACATAAACTTGATAGAATCCCAAATATTTTCAAAAGGAAGAGGCATTAAACACCAGGTAGAAAATTGAACACTGTCTCCTTTTAATTTTATTTTCGGGAACTGTTCCTTTCAAAATGAAGAGTGAGCTCCCAGGACCGTGACACTGAAGTGAGCTGTCTGTCCACTGGCGTTGGCAGACTCGGCCAGACAGTGCATCAGAAGAGACCCTGGGTGTTTGGCAGTGAAGGTCGGGAGGGCAGCAGTGGGGCAGAATGCTCACAGCTCCAGGGCATCAGAGAGGGAGGATGCCCTTCCTTCTTGTCTGAGGCTCAAAGGCCTATTGCCAAAAATCCCCGAGTCACCAAAGACCCAAAGCGGAGGAGGAGACACATCCATCTGGGAAGAAAGAACTGGTAACCAATAGGCTGCTCATCCTGAAGAAGATGATGGGAAGCAGAGGCCAGAGGGAGACCTCCTTTGGAAACAGAAGTAGGGGCACCTCGACTGGAAATCGGGAGGGTTTGTGTCCCAGGATATTTATCGAAGAGATGGCCTACTCCAGCCAACAGATCTGGGCAGACACCATGGTGACAAGGAAGAAAACAACTTCAGTGTCCGATGGACCCAAGGGCTGTGTGAAGATTTGTCTGTGCCCAAAACTACAGGGACCCAATCCTTGTCCAGGGGGGTATGGCCCAGCTGAAGGGCAACGCTTCAACTTTTCATACAACAACCAGCAAAGATGTCTAGAAAGTCTGTAGAAAATTGGTTAAGACCTACATAGCTTATTTAAAATAACAAGAAACGGATAAGAAAAAAGCTGAGTACTTACAGGAACCAACTTTAGATCCTGTAGGATGTCATCAAAATAATGAAACTCCGTTAATTCCAATTCCACCATTTCATTCTTCAGTTCCAGGACGCGACCCATCACTCCATCCAGTATTTTTCGGATCAATATTCGCTTCTGCGGGTGGATGATCTGGTCATAGACATCCTCCAGGTTTCTGAAGATCTGCACGTATTTTATGTAGAAGGTGGCCAACATTTGGAAGATGAAAACTTGATTGCTTTGTGATTCCATCATGTTCTGAGACTCTTTATCAAGCAAAGAATTGAGGGCTTCTTGGGTCTGATGCCACATCTTATTATACATTCTGGGGAAAGACAGAGAATAAGTGAAAATTCCTTTGTGAGCCATACAAAATGGGCATCTGGAATAACAAATGGTGACACAGCATCAAATGTGAACCAGGAGCACAGTGTATAGTTCCCTTTAGACCATTTATGTCTTCTTCTGAGGTGCATGTGATTTTTGGACATGACTGCTGCTATCATTATCACCTACGTAGCTTAAAAATCCTTTCACCTCAGTGATGAGAGTGATTCCTCACCGTACCTGTAAAGCCAGCATGATTACACCCATTTCAGAGATGAAGAAGCTGTGAGCCAGAGTTTTCCACTGACTTGTCCATACACACAGCTGGTGGGCTATGAGTTGGAACAACCATGTTGGAAAGTAATTCTGCACCACCTTGTAAAGTCAAACACGGGCAGACCCTATGAATGAACAATCAATCATTCCCCAGAGAAACTCTTGTAAATCTGTATCACAATGAACATAAAAGTGTTTCCTTATAATAGCCCGAACAAGGAGATAACCAATTGTACATGAATAAGAGAACGAATAAATAAACTGCAGTGTATTCCCAGCGGACTAGTCCCTGCAGTGGAGAGTGAATGACTTACAGCTCTAAGCAATAACTGTGAACCTGAGAACCATAATGTGGGACGTAAGAAGCAAGGCATGGCTGGCGTGGGAGGCTGGCCCCTAGGTCCGTGGAGCAGACAGGGAGCTGGAGGGCAGAGGAGAGTGAGATGCAGGTCTGTCCTCTCCCACTGCCTCCCTGGTGGCTCAGCACACGGTTGGGAGCCTCCTACCAAAGGCTCAGGGTGGCAGCCGCTCTGCATTGCGCCCCATGATCCTTGTCGGTTCCTTGAGACTCTGTCCCCATCTCTTCTGCCAGTCCCTTTTTTAACCATCCTGCTGAGGGTGCCATCTTTTTCCTGCCTGGACTCTGACCAACACATCCAAGACAGAATTTTGGTTGACATTTTGGGTGACTTTGGCTCTCTTTATGTCCCAGAATCAGATGAAAGGCTAATGGAAAGATCAGTGTGTCTGGGAAGAGGCTTATTAACCCTCTGGGGGTGAGAGCGTGGGCAGGATCCTGGCCCTTTCCCTGGGATGAGGGGGAAACCCACAACCCATTAGGTCTTTCTTGTGCTGGCCGGGGGGGCTCAATCTCTGCCTGAATGGAGCCAGTGGGTCAAGGGGAGTGAGGGCTCTCCCTTCCTCTTCGCCATCAGCCTGGCCTCCCAACCCCATTCTCACCTGTGTGTGGCACCCCCAGGTCCAGGCTGCCTGCACGAGCCTCTTCTGTCAGCACGGGGGCGGCTGGGCACCTGCTCTCTGGGGTCAAAATGCCCCTTAGGCAGACCTACCACCTTTAGCCCCACCTCAGAAGGACCAGACCTTGCCTCCTCTCTTGCCAGGGTTCTGCCAGAAGGTGGGCTTTTCTTCCCTCCCCCTCTGCTGGTGCTCAGGTCCCATGTGCCTGCCTCTTCCCCGCTCATCTCATCTGCATTCCCTCCTTCTATGTTCTCGTGATAGCTCCTGGCAAATGCTCTAACGTTCCCCTGGCCCTCGTGTGTTTATAGCCTTTGACATCCCCTATTGCCATTTTGGAGGTGATTCAGGAAGAGCAGGAAATAAAATTGCTCATAAAATCCACCTTGTTTTACTGGGAATCCCTCATCGACCTTCCCAAGGTCATTAGCGGGCATCCCCTCTTGGTGCCCGGCTCTGGTCCCACTACCTGCCCTTCCTCACTCATTCTCCACACTTCCCTCTGAGAAATTGCCGGCATCACTTCCTGGAATTGACCCCACGCTGTGACCTGTGCTAGGTGTGACCCTGGCGACGCTCCATGAACAAGGCTCCTGTTACTCCCGCTGAGGTGGGAGGAGGTGGCCTGCTCCTCAGAGGTGAGGTCAGTGTCTGAGCCCCGTCTTGGGCTTGGAACCGTTATTCTACACTGTACCACCGCCTCTACCTTGACCAAAAATAAAAGAACCACCACTATCACCAGAAAATACATAATCATAACTCTTGCCAAGATCATGGGTGAGAAATTTAGTCTCAACATTCTAATGTCCATTCACCTGGTTGCAAATGAGATTGAATATCCACCTGCATATGGGTTGTTTGCAAGTTCTCTTCCTCAGATCGTTTATCCATTTGTTTTGCTTGTTTTTACATTGGATTGTTTGTCTATTAGTTTATGGGGGTTCTTTATATATACTGAGTGCCTATGAGTTCCTTAGCTTGCCTTCCAGCTGAGAAGCTGGTGTCTTACTACAGCCCAGAGCAGGCTGTAGGCACGTGCCCTCCACCTCCGTCCTGCTGGGAAGGGCGATCCCACCCGGTTTCATGCGGGTCCAGCTGCAGTACTCCAGGCTGGTTTGGAGCCAGGCCCCGCTGGGGCAGCAATCCCAGAGCACAGTGCCCGTCCCTGTGCCAGGGCCTGGCCAGGCCTCCTGCTTGCGTCTGCTCGCTGCTGTGCACTCCCATGCTGCTCCTGGTGCAGAGAGTTTCAACTTGCATTAAAAAAATTCCAATTCTTTAGTTTTTCAATTTAAGATATTTTCATTTTATTTTAAAATGTACTCTTCCACTATTCAGTATAATAAATACATATTAGTATGTTACCAAGTAATACAAACTTAAAAGAACAATTAAAAACTTTTTAAAAGATTTATTCATTTATTTCAGAGAGAGAGGGAGATTTATTTATTTCAGAGAGTGTGTGCGTGCCAGCAGGGGGAGGGGCAGTGGGAGACAGAGACAAGCAGACTCCCCACTGACTGAGCTCAGAGTCCCACGTGGGGCTCCATCCCAGGACCCTAAGATCATGACCTGAGCCAAAATCCAGAGTCGGATGCGTAACCTACTGAGCCACCCAGGTGCCCCTAAAAATAAAATTTTTAAATAAAACATTAAAAAAACATTTTTTTTTAAATCTCTTATTTTTATGTTCCTGGAACAGAGATGAGAGACTTTCATCTCCTTGGCCAAAAGTCAGAAGTTCTCTTGGTGGGTGAAGAGCCTTTCAGGTTCAGATGATGATGATGAGGATGAGGATGAGAATGGAAGCAGCTCAAAAGTACATAATGCTGGTCACCGTCCTAAGCGCTTTACAGGTATCAGCTCTCATAAACCTAACAGCCCTCTCAAGCAGGTGCTACCATCCCTGCAGTTCACAGAGGAGCAAACAGAGGCACAGCAGAGCTGACCCGCGTCCAGGCAGTCTGGCCCCAGGGCTCACAGTCTGAGCCCCTTTGCGGCCCCCATTCTTCAGGGTGAAAGCAAATGAGGGTGACGAATCAGGTGGCGTAGCTGTGATGGGCCAAGATTTACAGTTGAATATACACCTCTCCCCACAGTCCTCCACTGAGTGTGGATGCTGAATACTGCCTTGGGCACGCCTCCCGGGGGGTGCGAGTGTCAGATGTCTCCAAACTGGGACATACTTAAAAAATATCGCTAATGAAAGAACATCCTGCCAGACGGCTTTATGAAGAGAGAACGTTTACAGGGGGCAGTTAGATTCTGTTTAGCACAGGACTTGCCAGTCCTTGCAGAAGAAATGACTATCTATTAGAAACGACCCCATCCCAGAACAGTAACGGCAACACCTTCCGGGCCCAACGGGTCCCAGCATCAGGTGGCGCAGGTATGGTGGCGATTCTGCCTTCTGCGCCTTAAAAAACCAGGCAAACAGGAGGGGGGAGGGGAAGACAGAAACAAACGGGACAATGAACGCTGGCTTATCAAGCATCTGCCCCGGGGGAGGTGAAGCTGGAAAGGGGGCCCAGAAGCTGAGCCTGTTCCTAGCTCACCAAAGCCCAGACTCCGAGCATCTGAGGGGGGCGGCACACTCAGGTCTCCCCTGACCTGACGGGTGACACCAGCTGTCCAACCAATGTTCACATAAAACAGAAAGCCATGTGGTTTGTTTTGTGGCCTAAGCCTGTCAGGACAGCATTACAGAAGAAAATTACAGGCTAATTTTGTTTAGAACTCGGATCTGAAATCCCACTTAGCAAACAGGACTCAGCCCCAGATCAAAAGAGTGGTTCCCTCTGACCGGGGAGGGGTCATCCCAGGAATCTGCGAGAGTTCAGCATAAAGACTAGCTGAGCTAAATACAGCAACAGAATGGTACAAACTGAAGATTATTTCCACAGATGACAAGAAAATGCTCAATAAATTTAATTTATGGCATATGCCTGATTAAGAATACCGCCCGCATACCCCAAAGAACAGATGCTGTCAGCCCTTCAAAACGCTGAACACCGGAGACCAAAAATATTTTCAGGAGACACACTAGAAATCTAAAAGACAGGAGTGAAAGAACATCAAGCAGACAGAAAAGGGATTCACACAAAAGATTTAAGAAACTGCTTATAAATGACACAGTGGCAAAATCCAAGGAAATCGGTAACAAAATATAAGAAGTCAACTATGCAGCAAAGTTGCAAGACATCAATAAAAGCCACAAACACTGAACACAGAGAAAAATACGAAAAATGAAACCCCTCTCCCACTACTGATTAAACATCTAAGAATGAATATGGTGGGAGCCACACAAGATGTAACCGAAGAAAATTCTAGAATGCTAGCTGCGGAGGATCAGAACAGGCAGAAGGCTGGAGAGACAAGATAAAAAGAAAGCAGACTCGGGCGCCTGGGTGGCTCAGTTGGTTAAGCAACTGCCTTCGGCTCAGGTCATGATCCTGGAGTCCCGGGATCGAGTCCCGCATCGGGCTCCCTGCTCGGCAGGGAGTCTGCTTCTCCCTCTGACCCTCCCGACCCTCCCCCCTCTCATGCTCTCTCACTCTCAAATAAATAAATAAAATCTTAAAAAAAAAAAAAAAAAAAAGAAAGCAGACTCTTTTTTTAAATTTTTTTTTTTAAGGTTTTTATTTATTTGACAGAGAGAGAGAGAGAGCACAAGTAGGCAGAGTGGCAGTCAGAGGGAGAGAGAGAAGCAG